CAAAAAAAAAAAGGGGGGGTTAAAGGAAAGTAGCTTGGGTCATATCTCCAACAGAGCGGGCACAGCACTACTGAAACACTGGCACTTCATCAGTCCCTGCCAGCTATATAAACATGTGTTTACACAAAAGTGAGGATCACCAGATTCTTACAAAAGCCACAAAAAACTCCAGAAGTAACCCACAGTTACAGAGAGAATAAAAGGTTCTTATTTTCAGGTTCTTTACCAGTTGCACAGAGTATTTGATCAAAAAGTTTTCCTTGCCAACCGACTCGCGGCTTTTCTATGGTGCCACTTCAGAACATTTTTTTGGTGATAACAAGCCTTTGTTATTAGCAACTTTTCCAAAGCCACAGGTAGGAAGAGATAAACTGTGCAAATAAGGGGGTATCACATGCTACCAGTACTGCTAAGGTTATAAAAGGTACATTTCCCCTGAAACAGTAATAAAAAATTGAGGGGTTAACTGTGAACTAAGATACTGCTCAAATCAATGAAATTCACCCCAGCACAGAAGACTTAACACTCAGGCCACCTTTGAGCCTTAAAAGGGATTTTCTTGATACACAGGCCAGGAACTGGCTGGCTTGACAGGGAAAGGGAAAGGTGCTTTACATGCATGGGGAAACAGCAGCTTCCAACAGTCTCGTGCATCCAGTCCAAAGAGAGTATGAACACCTTGTTGATTGTGGCGGCTTCAGAGCAGGCCTCTAATGTATGAGCTTTGGGAAGCTGAACACAGATGTGCCTGTAGAGAGAACGAACCCTTCCTGGGTCAGTCATGGGATCTTCCTTCTGCAAATCTCATCTATCAGCTCTGAGTAACACAGGCTGCCAGGGTGATGCTTTGAATGAAGCCATGTCCATCCCTCCCCAGACCAATATTTTCCCTGATATTCTGGAGATGGTGATGTTTACAGACTACAAGTCACTGATGGCATTGCTCTGTATTAAACATCGAACAGCAGGCAGATGAGATAAGAGATAAGGCAATAAAGAGAGAAACCGCTCTAGAAAACAGCTCATGTATTTTTTTCACTTGCTGCAAAAGGACTTCTGTTATCTCATAGACATTTCTAGATGGCAAAAAGCTTTTTACATTTTCCCTAGTGCATCACATGCCACATGCTGGTCACAGTTTCACAGTTTTGTTGCTAGCAAGTTCAAGAAACAGATATTTTATTGACCATTTTGTCTTGACACACAGCACTAACTCACCAATGCAGTTATCACTCAATTCAGGGCTTGTTATAACATCCCTTCAAAGTAAGAAAGCACATGCTTTTGCTGGCCTATGCCCAGATACATGCAAATTTATGCAAACACAGGCAAATACATGTCTGCTTTTTTGTCAGCGGATGTTGGCAGGTTTGTAGATATGATGTAGTGAGAAGCAATAGCAAAACAGCAGAGAGGAGGGCTGAGAAAGTCGAGAAGATCTCTGCATTTCTTAAGTGCTTTTGTTCAAGTCTGCTAAACAGTTGTTTAAACAGTCCAGGTCTTGAGACTGACAAGTGCTTTAGAAAACCCCATCCCACTGAGTTAGTCAGTGAGTGATCAAGGAAGTTACTGCAGTGATTTAAGACATCTGCCCTTCATCTTATTGTTCAGTTGTGTTAGGAAAAATAACTTGTGCAACACTGAGAAATCAGCGAACTGTAATTCAGAATGTGTACTGAAGATGAGACACCCTCTGTGAAAGGGTTGTCAAAACGTGGCTTTCACTCCCTTCAGGCATCTACCTTCAATCCTATTGACCCAGCAGAGACACTGTTGCCAGTTGATTGCACAGCAATTCACAAATCATTTCACAGAAAGAATAATAAGAATCTGTTAAAACGCCCCCTTAGATAAGAATGGGAATAGGAGAGCACTTACCACATTGCAGTCTGACCCTGCTGTGTACAGGCCCACATGGCTCAAAGGTTTTCTACCCTGTCCATGCCTAAAAGCTGTTGAAGGAAGCCTCTATCTCCTACACAGGAATTAGCTCAGGTGAGGGTTCAGCTCCCCACCCTGAGGTGCTTCCAGAGCTATTCTTTGCCATCAGAGCTGGAGACTTGGATTGGATCAGATGTCTCAAAGAGGAGTCCCTTCACTGGGAAGCACTCAGGAGCCACACGAACCTGCGCTGCTGAAAACCTTCCCCATGTACTTGCTCTTACAAGCATCTGTTTTCTCGGGTGGGGTGAGAGGCTGTGGCAATGGACAGCTGCTTCAGCTTTCTTCCACAAAGTGCTAAGAAACAGGGTAGTAGCAGCTTGCAGGAACTCTCACTTGGAGCTCTTGAGTTCGGATGTCCGTTATCTCAGGTGAAATACAGGCATGGATGACTCTTCAGGCTGACTTGACCTCTTCCATCCAGTCTTTTCCCTCCCCTCAGGTTCCTGCATTCCCAGGCTAGCAGGATCAATGGAGGTAATTGCACATCACAAAGGCTTCAGCATTTCAACCAGTACCTCTGTACAGGACCTAACAAGAGGCACAGTTCGAGGCATGTCTTAAAGCAGTATTTCTCAACCTTTCATATCCAAACTACTGTCTTGTGTTCCGTCACCACCATGGGTTTCAGTTGCCACAAAATCAAAGGTTGGCTGTACTTCGAACATTTGCTTGTTTATGTACAGCCATTTGCTTTGCTTGCCTCCTTGTTTGCAAGCAATGCTTGGGGTTTATTAGTATTCTTTGTTAAAAAAATAAAGTTTTCAACCATTTGAAAGCTCATCTTCTGATATCTTACATGTTGCTTTTGGTCCACAGGTTGAGAAACACTGTCATCCCACCCTGGTTTAAAGACTCTAGGAGCAGGGACATGGTGGTTAACCATCCTCACAGTTTTTCTAAGAGGTCTTGTGCAATCAGCAAGCTGAAGTTGAAGCCGGAAATTGCAGGCAACCTAGGATCTGGCATTTTGGCGACAGGAAATGAATGCAGATGCAACTTTCCCTTTCTTCAGCAAATGCCTAACCTGCCAAAAAAATGTAGACTTTCAAAACATACCCTCTGAAACTGCACATGAAGACACTACAATACATACATACACACACTTATATACATGTATATGTGTAACTAAATACACATATAAACATATGAGAGACTACAATGAGCTCCAGGAGCCTTTTCATACCTGTAGGCATGAAACCCAATCATCCCTTGAGATTTGCTGCCATTATGAAAGAACTACACATTGATACCTCCCCAGATGTATTTGGAGTACCAGCTAATGCCCTCTTTGTGCTCCTTCATTACAGATTTACTGAAGTGGGGAACCCCCAAGCCTACGGAACTGCAACGTCAGACCCATGTCATACGACTTGTCCTCACTGTTCCCCTGGTAAGGACAGACAGCTGTGGTATGCACAGATGTGTTAGGAAGCAGCAGCAATGCGGATCATGTACCTGATCCCCAGCTTTTCCAGAAGGAGCCATGTGGATTGGCTGATCGTTGTCTAAGTTTCGGATGGTCGGGTCTGCCCCATGGTCAAGGAGCAACTGGACAATTTCTTTCTGGTTCTTGTCACGAGGCAATGCAGCTGCCATATGCAAAGCTGTGTTGCCATGTGCCTAATGCAGTGGAAGAAAAAGAAAAAGAAGAAAAAAAAAAAAGAGAAACCTCCTGATAAGCTGTGCCACCTACTCAGAATTGTCCTAGAAATGGAGACTTGTGAAACGAGAGCTGAAGAAGCCTCACACGATTACTTACCAGGAGGGGAGGAAGTACCCCTGCTCTGTTTCTCCCATGTATGGCTGCTCATGCAGGAGATGTGTGGATTTAGATTCTTTTCTCTGATAGAGGACTACAAATCGGGGCACTTTGATGCTTTGCGTACAGCTAACAAATAGTCTTGTATCAGCAACATTCCTAACCACTCTGCAACCCCCTGCTAAATCATACCCTCACGTAAGCAGAGACTTGATGAGTTATTTGAAAAAGAGAAGGATAGAGGCCATGTAGCATGCGTATTGATCCAGGAGAAACAATAGGAACTATTTCACTGGGAAATATTTAAGCCAGTCTAAGGGACACAAAACACATTATGCTGTGTTACCCATCACACATGGGCTATGCAAGGATCAACAACAGCAGACCCATTTGTGCTCCACACATCTCCACTACTCCCTTTTACAATCACTTGCAAGTGCCAGAAAGTTGCAAAGAGACCTTGACACAAGTGAAAGCCAGACTCAATAGCATATAGGTTATACGTGAGGCTCAGACTGATCTCTTGGATACCAGGCACCTTTGACTGTGGGAGTCCTCCCAGGTCACCAAACTCATGGCATTAAAAAGAGGTGCTTTGAAAGGTACCAAGCCGTCCCGGTGGTCCAGCCGAGCCAGAGGTCCAGCAGCCCATGTCCCTCAGTGACTTTGCATACCACGGACCCAACAGAGCTGCAGGTGGCTTGGCTCTGCAGCAGACAAAATGAATCACGCAGGGCTCCAAACCTTCTCCTGGTTCCTTCCCAGAGTGCTGAAGATAGTGCTTGGCTTTATTTTCATGGCGCTGTCATTAAGCAGAATCCTGAGGTCAAGGGCCTACTTAAGCATATATTGACTCCAGCTTTCTCAGTAACAGGATTTGTACAGAAAGGATAGACAAAATTTTTTTGTGAAGCCACGGGGGGGCGCAGGATGGAGCATGCTGCAATTTGTTGCAGAAAAGCTCTGGTATCACCAGACCGTGTAGAAATCTGTGCCCCTGCCTAGTCAGGTATAACTGGTAACGGTTTTAAATGAGAAAAACCTAATAAGCAAATGCATAAGGCAAGGTATTTTTAGTCTGCAAGAAGTCTCATTTAGGCAGCTGTATATTTTTTCTCTGGGAAACGATCATACGTTTGTCATGAACTTGGAATGATTGGACACAAATTGCAATGTGTATTACTATTTCAGTTGTTAAAAGGAATACATGTGATTTTCAGGTGCTATTTACCACTGAGACGTAAGGGACATTGAAGCACAAAACAAAATAGCAAAATCTTAACAGCTATTCTCAGACAAGGCATTTTTTACAAGCCCTGAACAAGCAGATCCTTGTCAATTTTATCATCCCATAGAGTCAAGGGATAGTTACAAGCTCTTTATAGGACTTCTCGTTAAAATGGAAACATCTGCATTTGTTTGCTGCATCTTTGTGGCAGGACCACTTGATAGCTTCCAAATCCAGCCATGGGGCTAAGAAAAGAAGGCAATCTGACAATGCCTGATCTTGAAGCCTCCCATTGACTTTAACAGGGCTTATGCAAGACAATGGACCAGAGCACCAATATGTGGGCTCTAGGAATCCTTCAGGTGAAAAATACTTCAAAGGCCTCAATGCTTTTCTCATTGTGAAATCCACAAGGAAATGAATTTGGAATGAAACCACAGCAAGCAGTGGGTGAGCCAGGGAAACCAAAACATGGACTCCAGCATCCCTGTTTTCTTGCCTTCTTCATACCTGGAAGAGCTAAAAAGCCAGGATGGGTATCAGACAACCTTGCCATCATATTTCTCACTGTCCCAGAGAGCTCACCAACAAGACTGAAGACTCCAAGTGATCTTATCACAGTAGGAAGCTCTCACAGGATTGTGATCAAGAGACAACAGCAGACTCCCACGGACAAGCTAGCACCTGCCTAACGGGTCTTAAAAGAAACAGAAAGAATGTAGTGAAAAGGCAGCGTAAGGCCCTTCACTGTACAGAAAAACAGAAACTCACTGTTATTACCCACATACACGAAGCAAAACATGTTTCCTCCAGTCCAACAGAAATCTGTACAGGAAAAAAATGTGAAGCTGCCCAGTATTTGCTTCCCAACTGAGCAACTGATTTGATAGAGAACATCCAATTCCTTTCTGATGGACACAAGCGTGTGAATGCTCTAGGGAGTACAAGCAAGGCTAAGAGACTGAAACTGTTGAGATGAAAAGCTAATGCACTGACCCTCTCAAAACAGGGAGCCCTAGCCTTGTCCTCCCCTCCCTCTGTCCTTTCCTGCTCAAGGGTACCCTTCTGCAGAAGCACCCAGAATCACCCACTTAGTCCTGCTGAGAGGGGGCAGCTAGTCAAGAGCCAAAGCTCTAGCTGATGGTGCAGAGCGATGTCTCAGCTAAGGCACAGGAATGTCAGGATTTTTGCTTAGGAGGATGGGTGAAGCTGATACATCTGCAAGATAGTGTCACTGCTTGGTATCTGCTCAGAGGTGAAGTATGGGGCAGCAAGGGGATGGGTGACACAATAGCAGCACTGGGAAGATTTCTAGCTTGCTTTATACAACCTAGGAATGGCTGTGCCTCCAGAAACCCTGCACTGAGGAACTAATGTTAACAAAACTTCAGCTCGGTAAGCAGGGTTGTATAGAGTGTCTAAAGCCAGGTCTCGAGCCCCCAGAGTCAGAGTTGGTCTACTCGCCATAGTGCCTAGGCTCCCGCATGCTCAGCAAGGATGCTGCCTCACTTCAAAGAGCTGGTTTCCCCATGCTTCACCTGCCTGGCAATGTCAGCCACTGGTTCACTGCCTGTAGCACGTGTCTGTCTTCTGTTATTGCTCCTCACAATAATCACAATAATCATCACAATAACCGGTTTGGGCCCAGGCACAGACAGAGCCAGAAGACTTGCAAATAAGTCTGCATTTAAGGCAGAAAGAGTCACCATCTCCCTTAACTGAAATAGGAGCTTCGTCCTTCCTAAGGATGGCACATTTGACAGGAGAGGTTACTTGCTACACGGCTGCCCTAAACTGCTGTCTTTCAGTATTATGTTGCTGCCAACAGCAAACCATTGCATCATTGCAGATCTGTTTTCTCAATCTTCTGCCTAATGTAATAAAGTTCACGTTCCTCCTCAAGTAACCGCTTCCCACGTCCTTCCTCTTCCCTGGTTATGTCGCTCTTTCATTCTGTCAACTTATGCCTGCTGGGAGAGGGGCCTGCATTTCACGACACAACTCAGAGTTCAAGCCAGGCACTGCTTTCCAGGTGAAGTGTCTATTTACTGGAAAATGCAGTTTCAGGTTTAAAAAAAACCCACAAAAGTTCAGATTCACAAACTGTTGCTCATTCCCTCCAGAAAAAACATGTGTGGGAAGAGAATAACTGGTTTCTGCAGGACCCCACAGATCTCCTAACACCTCTGTCTGCATGCAGCCTCCCACCGCAGCACAGCTCTCACACTGCTCTCGGCATGTCCTCTGCCTGTGGATGTGCACACAAATCCTGTACACGCGTGGCCTGACTCACCTTATTGTTGACAAAGTCCTTGGACTTGGAAGCATTCAGCTCCAAGAAGTATCTGAGGAGGGAGATGTTCCCATCCTGGACTGTATAATGAAGAACTGTCTTGTTGCTCTTCACATCCTATTTAAAAACAGAAAAAACAAACAAAATAAGAAATGTTCTGCAGAACAACCTGAAGATATTATATAAATCCATTGGAGAAAAGTCCAGGCCAGCTCTGCAGCTCATGTGGAGCACCTCTTTCC